AGAGGGTGAGATACATGAGCATCCAGATCTGCTGACCATCCTGCAGCTCCCTGCGGAGGAGCGAGCCCTGGGCGGCAAGCCTGGGCCTGGCCCTGAGGGAGGCGGGCAGGTCCAGGCAGGCACGCACCAACGCCGTCACCGCCAGGGTCACTCCTCGGGAGCAGCCTGGCTGACGGGGGACGGAGCAGTGCCTGGGGAATGGGAGAAGCTTCCAGAAAGCAGGCTGCTCAGCCAAGCAAGTCTCCCTCCACTGTCAGGCACAGCAGAGGCCTGTCCTCAGGAAACCCTATCACTTCACCGAGCCAGCCTGGCCCTCCGGCTGGGCACTGCCTCTTGGCTGGGCACTGCCCTCTGCTGGCCACTACCCTCCCCATTGGGCACTTCCCTCCCCGCTGGGCACTGCCTCCCGGCTGGACACCGTCCTCCCGGCTGGGCATGCCCTCCCCGCTGGACACTGCCCTCCGCGCTGGACACCTCCCTCCCCACTGGGCACCTCCCTCCCCGCTGGGCACCGCCCTCCAGGAAGGCGGTCAGCAGAGGTGTGTGCCCGGGGCCAGCACAGAGCCTGGCAGAGGAGGCCGGAGCGCTCCCAGGACGAGGGGCTGCTGAGAAAGCAGTGCGCGCCCCACGGCCGGGGAGTGCCAGCACAGGCGGGGCTGGGGGTGGGGGCTGAAGGCGGTACACCGTGACCCCATCAGCCAGGACGCGATGCCAGCGACCGTGCCAGCGGCGTCCTCCCTGCCACGCGGGGCTCGCCGCCCGCCCTCCTGCCCGCCCGCCGCAGTGCGAGGCTCAGAGCTTTTATTGGGATGTTTGTCTTCTGAAGTAAGTGCGCTGTCAGGGCGAGCTCCACAGGAGACGCAGAGAACCTCCCGCAGCCGCCCCCACGCTGCCGCCTCCCAGGTCCCATGAGGGTCCCAGAGCCCAAGGCACAGGTGTCATCCTCCCCGCCCCCGGAGCCCCCGGCCAGCTCTGCAGACTGAGGAGGCCCAGCGGGGGCTGCGCCCCAGGTTCTGCTGCATCCTGAGTCCTCCCGGCCCCTCCCGGCGGCCCTGCCAGCCTGCGGGAGACACAGCCAGCGGGACCCCGGTGCCTCGTGACTCAGCCGCCGAGACGGGCCTGCGATGACACGATGTGACAGAGCCACCCAAGGCTGGCGCCCAGAGACGCCCGTTAGTCTGTTTTCTGAACAACAGGACGAATGAAGGGCTGGGCACGGGCGAGGCCGGCCGGGGAGGGCCTGATGCCCCGTGCAGGGGTCTGGGCACAGCAGGTCCTGGCAGGGGGCCTGGCCAGGCCTGGAGCGATGGTGACGGGTGGGGGAGGCAGGGACCGTCAGAAGGCCGAGCGACAGCCACGGCCACGACGGGGGAGGCGAGCTCGAACCCCTGCAGGCTTTGCTGAGACACGCTGACCCCTCGCTAACCCGTCACACGCACCGCAGAGGCAGAGGCAGGCAGAGGCAGGGGCAGGGGCAGGGGCAGGGGCAGGGGCAGGGGCAGGGGCAGAGGCAGGGGCAGGGGCAGGGGCAGGGGCAGGGGCAGAGGCAGAGGCAGGCAGGGGCAGGGGCAGGGGCAGGGGCAGGGGCAGGGGCAGGGGCAGGGGCAGGGGCAGGGGCAGGGGCAGGGGCAGGGGCAGGGGCAGGGGCAGGGGCAGAGGCAGGGGCAGGGGCAGGGGCAGGGGCAGGGGCAGGGGCAGGGGCAGGGGCAGGGGCAGGGGCAGAGGCAGTCCTCGGAGCAGCTGCCTGCAGAGGGCTCGGCCAGCACTGCAGGCCTCTGCGGTGCCAGGTCCATCAGCGCGATCGATCCCGCAGCGGGTCAGGCTGCGGGGCAGGAACCAGAGCCGCCCGGCGCCGGTCCCGGCCGAGCTGCCACAGACGGGGCAGTTCCGGGATCCTCCGGGGAGGGGATGCAGGAGCTTCCCTGCCTCCTCTGTGAAGGTGACATTTTAAGTAAACGTGGGGATCCCTGCTCGTGGAGGAGACCGGCCTCTCAGCATGAGGGCTGGCGCTGGCGCTGGCTTCCTCCCTCGGAGGTCGGCTCCCTGAGGCAGCGTCCGCCCCTGCCCGGAGGCGCCAGCCAAGCTGGATGGCAGACTAGACACGCGCCCACCTCCAGGAGCGAGCAGCCAAGTGGGGGCAGAGCTGGCATGGATCACAGAGCCAGCCTGTCCAACACCCCACCCTGCAGACGGCAACACTGAGGCCTGGGAAGGCAGGAGCGCCCCCCGCGGCCAGACTGCAAAGCAGAGCATGAGCGGGAGCTCTGCTCCGCCCAACACTCTCGCCTCGTGGAACAGAGGCCGGCCTTCTGGGCCCAGCAGCACGCACAGCGCAGGCTCCGGGGCCGCTGAGGCCCAGGGCACCAGCAGCACGCAGGGTCCCACTGGCCGTGGTGCCCCGCCCTCTGCTACACACCAAGGTCGTCCCGGGAGCTGGGTGCGGGCGGTACCAGGCAGTGGGGCAGGGACACAACTCCCTCCTCCCCTAACAACTTGGGAAGGGGCCGCCACGGCACAGACTGAGGCCTGCAACCATGCAGACAGCCACAGGGCTCCGGGCCTGGGCGAGCAGCCAGAGTCCCTGAACAAGCCAGAGAGCAGGCAGAGGGTGAGGCGGGCGGGCCGGGAGGAGCAGCCCACAGCGGGCGACAAAAATACTCCCTGAGCCGGAGGGTGAGCGAGGCCCCTGTGGGCGTGTGTACATGCATGTGTGTGAGGACGAGCACGTGTGTGTGCATGCATATGTGTGTGGGAACAAGCACATGTGTGTGCATGTGCACTCATGTGTGTGGGTCAAGACAAGCACCCCACCCACCCGTGTGTGCATGCATGTGTGTGGATGAGATGAGCACCTGTGTGACTGCATGCATGTATGTGGGGATAAGCACCTGTATGTGCATGCATGTGTGTGGGGGTGAGGACCTATGTGTATGTGCATGTGTGTGTGGGATGAGATGAGTGCATGTGTGTGAGGACAAGATGAGTACATGTGTGCGTGCATGTGCGTGGATAAGATGAGCACGTGTGTGCATGCACATGCATACGCGTGGGGTGAGGTGAACACGTGTGTGCACAAATATGTGCATGCACTTGTGTGAGGACAAGACGATCACGTGTGTGCGCGCGCGTGCAGGCAGGAGCCCCAAAGCCCGGCCTGGGCCACTCCACAGCACAACTCCTTGGGGATTAGCTCTCCTCCAGCCCTTTGCCGGGACCCACAGGAGAGACACTTCCTCGGGCTCCACCGGGCCTCGCAGGGAGGGGCCAGCAGCTCACCGTCAAAAGGCCAGCTGGGCGTCCCCAGGGCTGGTCCTCCAGAAGCCCCGGGCTGGCCTGGCTGGGGAGCCGCTTCCTGGGCTGGGAGGTCCCGTCTGCGTCACGTGGTTAACGAGGCTCACTGTGGGCATCTCTGCTGAGACCACTGGGCTTTCCTGCCTAAGGCCCTTCCCGCCCCCGGGAGCTCAGAGGAGAGGGAATCCGCCTGCAAACCATGCCCATTTCTGGGTATCGCTGGGGTCAGGGGTTGCTCGCACTCCTCCCATCGGCCTCCGGAGGCCCCAGCACTCCCCCTGCCCCAAGCCTGTCTCCCTGGAGGCAGGGACCACCCACCACTGGCCTGGGGTGGGAGGCGAGGTAATGACCATGCACATCTGCGGGTCAACAAACAGGGATGTGGGTCGGGGCAAGCGGGGTTACCCCAACAACTCACCCCTGAGCCAGCAGGAGTGAGACCCCGTCACGGGGCGGTCCCGTTAGGGCGCTGGTCAGCGGCGGGGGTTTCAGAGCGTCCCCGCGCCCTTTACCCGCAGAGCCACCGGCGCCGGCACTGAGCGGCCACCGTGGCAGCACGGGCGCAGGCTGGGCGCCTGCCCGGGCTCCACAGGCGCCGCTTCACGCGGGCAGGAGGGGCAGAGGCCGGCCAGGTGGCTCTGCCCGGGAGCTCCGCGCGAGGCGGGGCCGGACCCCGCGCTCAGAGGACAAACAGCGAGGGGCTGGCACCGGCCCAGCCAGACCCGCCGGCCGCGCTGCGCGTGTGCGCGCCCGCGTGTGCGTGTGCGGGAGGGGCTGCGGGGCTCCCGGACCCGCCGGACCGGGCACGCACCGCGCAGGCCGCCGCCGCCCGGCCCGCAGGCTGCAGACGGCCTGGAGGGGGCGCCCTCGCCGCGCGCGCCCCGCGCCGCCGCCCGACTCCTCCCCGCCGCCGCCGCCGCCGCCGCCGCGCAGGCAGGTTCCCAGGCGGCCGCGGGCTCCGCTCCGGCCGCTCCCCGGCGGCGGCGCTGGCGTGGCCGCCCCTGCCCACCGCGCCCGCCCCGCCCGCAACTCTACCAAGTTGGGAGCCCAGCCCGGCGGCCGCACTCGCGCCGGGAGCACGGCGGCCGCGGCGGCGGCGGCGGGGAGGAGGCGGCGGCGGCGGAGCTGGGCGAGCGGCGCGGCGCGGTCTGCGGGGGCGCCCGCCCCGGAGCGGCGGGAGGAGGGGCCGGAGCCGGACGCGGCGCGCTGCACGGGAAAGTGAAGTTGGAGCCGGGGCCGGGCGTGGGGGCCGGAGGAGCGGCGCAGACCCCTAGCCGGCCGGATGGGAGGCGGGGCGCCCGGGCCGCCGCCGCCGGCAGCCTGCGCCGCCGAGGCCCGCCCGACCGGGTGCCGCGTCGCCGTGGGCTCGCGGCCGGGGCGCTCCCCGTGAGCCGGACCCAGGGCGGGGCCACTCGGACCCGGGACCGGCCCCCGCCCCCCGCCGCCGCCCGCTCCGGCGCCGCCCGCTCTGCACTAGCGCGGCGCTGCGGGAGCCGCGGCCAGCTCTCCTCCCCTCTCCTCCCGGCGCGCCGCCCGCCCGCCGCCGCCGAGCCAACACGGCCCGGGGCCGGCTGCGGGGCGCCGCGGCTCCCGGGGGGCGCGCCCCAGGAGCAGGCGGCGATGCGGGCGCCGGCCCGGGCCGGGGGGCTCCGGAGCTGCCGCGGCTGCGCCCCGGCTCCGGGCGGGACCGCGTAGCTCGCGGGAGGCCCATGGCGTCCCCGGCGCTGGCCGTGGCGCTGGCGGCGGCGGCGGCGGCGGGGCCCAACGCCAGCGGCGCCCGCGAGGGGGGCGGCGGCGGGGGAGCCGCCAACGCCTCGGGGGGCGCCTGGGGGCCGCCGCCCGGCCAGTACTCGGCGGGCGCCGTGGCGGGGCTGGCGGCCGTGGTGGGCTTCCTGATCGTCTTCACCGTGGTGGGCAACGTGCTGGTGGTGATCGCCGTGCTGACCAGCCGCGCGCTGCGCGCCCCGCAGAACCTCTTCCTGGTGTCGCTGGCCTCGGCGGACATCCTGGTGGCCACGCTGGTCATGCCCTTCTCGCTGGCCAACGAGCTCATGGCCTACTGGTACTTCGGGCAGGTGTGGTGCGGCGTGTACCTGGCGCTGGACGTGCTCTTCTGCACCTCGTCCATCGTGCACCTGTGCGCCATCAGCCTGGACCGCTACTGGTCCGTGACGCGGGCCGTGGAGTACAACCTGCAGCGCACGCCGCGCCGCGTCAAGGCCACCATCGTGGCCGTGTGGCTCGTCTCGGCCGTCATCTCCTTCCCGCCGCTCGTCTCGCTCTACCGCCGGCCCGCCGCCGCCGCCTACCCGCAGTGCGGCCTCAACGACGAGACCTGGTACATCCTGTCGTCCTGCGTGGGCTCCTTCTTCGCGCCCTGCCTCATCATGCTGCTGGTCTACGCGCGCATCTACCGCGTGGCCAAGCGGCGCACGCGCGCGCTCAGCGACAAGCGCCCGGCCGGCCCCGACGGCGCGGCCCCCGCGGAGAACGGGCTGGGGGCGCCGGCGGGCGCGGGCGAGAACGGGCCCTGCGCGCCCCCGCGCCGCCCGCGCGCCGCCCCGGAGCCCGAGGACAGCAGCGCGGCGGCCGAGCGGCGGCGGCGCCGGGGCGCGGTGCGGAGGGGCGGGCGGCGGCGCGCGGACGGCCCGGCGGGCGAGGGCGAGGGCGGCGCCGAGGCGCCGGCTGCCGGGCCCGCCGCCGCCGCCGCGCGGAGCCCCGGCCCCGGCCCCGGCGGGCGGCCGTCCCGCGCCAGCTCGCGCTCCGTGGAGTTCTTCCTGTCGCGCCGGCGCCGCGCGCGCAGCAGCGTGTGCCGCCGCAAGGTGGCCCAGGCGCGCGAGAAGCGCTTCACCTTCGTGCTGGCCGTGGTGATGGGCGTGTTCGTGCTGTGCTGGTTCCCCTTCTTCTTCAGCTACAGCCTCTACGGCATCTGCCGCCAGGCCTGCCAGGTGCCCGACCCGCTCTTCAAGTTCTTCTTCTGGATCGGCTACTGCAACAGCTCGCTCAACCCGGTCATCTACACGGTGTTCAACCAGGACTTCCGGCGCGCCTTCCAGCACATCCTCTTCCGCCGCAGGCGCAGGGGCTTCAGGCAGTGACTGCGCGCCTGGCGCGGGGACCCCGAGACCCCGGGCGGCTCCGGGGGGAGGGGGCGGGCGGGCGGGCGCCGCCCCCAGACACAGCTGGTTCGATCCCCCGGAGAGCGGAGAGCCGGGAGGGACTGGCCTCCAGGGCGCAGGGCAGGCGCACGGGCTGATGAGACCCAAGCGCCCCCGGGAGAGGGGAGGAGAAAGGGGCGCCCCTCTGCCTCCCCATCTCAGCGAGGGGCTGCTGGCGAGGCTGCAGGCCTGGACCCTGCTCAGGGGGCCCGGCCGCGGGGAGCTGTTAGGTCGGGGTTTTAGCCACGCGCACTTGCAACCTTCCAGGCGGTGAGGACGCCCCAGACGCGCGCCGCCCCGCACCCACTTCCGAGCAAGGGCTGACTTCCCCAGGACCGGGGTGCTGTCTGGGGGGGCACTGACCACGTTTGGTAACTGAAAGTATTGAAATGTTTGCCAAAAACGACAACCCCAACCACCAAACTATTTTCTAAATAAACCTTTGTAAGCTAAGCGCTGGGTGCAGCAGTCCGTCCTTAAGCCCGGGCTGGGGGTTGGGGTAACTTCCAGGCTAGCACCTGCCTACCTGCCCTCCCTCCCACGGGTGAAGGAGGACACTCCAGGTGCCAGATTCCAACCTGCCCCTTGCACAGAAGTGTGTGTGGAGTGTCTTTTTTTCCCTTCCCCTTTTAAACCAAATGCTTTATGCACGTGTAAGGTCTGTGCGCAGAGTGCGTGTGCTGTGACCACCGCGTTGGTTCCCTGTGTAGACCCTGCAGAACTGCCCTCGCCACTTCTGTTCCTGCCCCTGCGCCCACCAGTGCCTGCCCTGGCCTGGCAGCCCCTCCCAGCGGAAGAAGGGGCATGGCAGCCTGGGCTGTGGGAAGCCCCGCTCCTGCCCTTGAGCAGGGTCCTTTGAAGGAAGCAGGTCTCGGGGGCTGAGGCCAGGCAAGCCTCCCAACCTTCTTCCCTCGGTCCACTTCTTACTGTTGTGAACATGGAGGCCCGAAGGCCATTGGGAGGGGCGAGGGGGGCTGGAGCCTGCCTGTCCCGCCTACCACCCCCTGCATTTGAGTCAGGCTCCCCGCCCCCCCCCCCCCACAAGCTCACCCTCATGCCCCAGCCACCCCGTGTCTGTGCACCCTCTCCCCCGCCCCCGCCCCCACTGAAGCTTGAGGGTGGCTAGAAGGAGGGAGTGAGGGGCCCCATCACGGAGCCTGGAGCTGGGATGGCTGGGTTGGGGGGCAGGAGCAGGACCTGGGGCTACGGGGGAGATCCCTCCGAAACACGGCTCACCTGGGGACCCCGCTGGTGAGGCTCCTGCCCATTGCGCCCGGCCTTCCTGTGCACCCTCCCCGCCATCCCGGCCAGCTCAGCTCTGTCCGGGTCACCACCCGTCAGTCTGGCCTGGGGGGCCAGGTCTGTCCTGGGGAGGAGTCAGCCCTGAGTCCTGCTTTCCATCCTCAAGCCCTCATCCCCTGAAGCAGGGGCCAGGCACACCCCTTTCCCGGGCCGCGTGCCAGCGCTGTCCCTTGGAGAACCCCAACCCCTGTGCAGACCCGGCCTCATCGCCCCAAGTTCTGGGTCCTCAGGATCCGCCCACTGGCCGAGCGCTCCCCCGCGGTCTGCACTGACTCACGTGGGCCCCCCACATCTCTGCTTAGGCTCCGGGACCGGAGTGAGGCCAGACCTGGGGAGGGGAGGGGCCAGACCTGGGAGGGGAGAGGAGGGGGGTGGCCCACCAGGCCCGTGGGGACAGCTCTGACCGCTCTCCGCTAGGCGGCGCCTGAAGGGGCGTCTGTGTGGGAGGCCTGGCTTTGCTGCAGGATCGCTGAGCTCCGCAGCGCCCCCGTGCCCCTCTGCCCCAGTGCCCTCTTGTGAAGTGGGGGCATTAAAATCTGCCAAGCCTGCCAGTCTGTGGGACATGCCAGCCGCCTGGAGGCCGTGGGGTGACTCTGGAGGGCACGGCAGTCCCTGGTGTGGCCTGTGAGCTCCAGGGCCTTCTGGGTGGGGGGCAGGGACCCTGTTCCGCCACAGGGCAGGGTGCGCTGGGCAGCGTGTCCACACCTGCTTCCTCCCTCCCAGCCCGGGAATGGCACCTGGGGGGGGGGCGGTGGCACCTCGTCCCCATTCAGCCACAGGTGTCCCCACTCCACCCTGAGCGCCGCCTGGAGAGGCATTCGGCTGGAAGAGCCGCCAGGCCGGCTCCGCCCGCTCTGCTCAGGGCCTGGGCCGGCTGCTGGTCTCGCTGTCTGCGTGGGTGACGTGGGGGTGCTGACACCCCTACCCCGGGCTCCTGAGCACTGACCGCTTCCACTGTGGTCCGGGAGCCAGGTGTCCTGAGGTTCCTGCCGTCCAGAGTGGGCCCGACCTCTGTCCAGCCTTCTGCACTGCCGTCTAGCCACACAGTGGCCTCCTCGCCTCTTCACGTCTATTTGGAGACGCCCATTCCAGCCCCTGGCCTGTGGCTGAGGACCCTGCGGCGGGAGCTGGCCGTGTGGCCCGGGACGGGCAGTGCAGGGGGCAGACTCAGAGTGTCCAGGCCCAGCTCCCACCGCCCAGGTCTCGGCCCCTGGCTTCTGCTGGAGGCTGGACACAGCTGCCTCCTGCCCGGGGCTTCCCCTCGGGGACAGGAGGTTTCAGGCAAAATTAAAACCGCCGCCGCCACCCAGGAGAAGATCCCGGAAGGCGGACGGAGTGGGCAGACTGGCCTGCACCTGAGCCGGCCCAGCCCGCCACGGCGGGGTCAGCAGGGTGGACACACATGCGTTTGTGTAAGCGAACCCCTGTCTCTAGTTCCGTTGTGAGCTGGTAGAAAAGGAGGAACAGGATCACTCACAATATTCCCTGACAGCTCAGCATGGAATTCAAAACACAGTGCGGTTTGGGCGGGCGGAGCCGGGAAGACAGCCGGGAACAGCAGCTCCGGGCTCTGGGCCCTCCCGGCTCGCGGGGCTGCGGAGCCGCTCCTGGCGAGGAAGCGGCCTCCGGCTGGCAGCGCTGTGTTTATGGCACATCCGTGGCGGGGCCCACAGATCGCACAGCCTGGCATCGCTACACACGGCGCCAGCCCAGAGCCTGGCTGGGAGCTGCAGCCTGGCCCGCCCTCCGGGCTGTCAGCCCGCAGCCGCACGGCCAGGCCAGGTGGGGGAGCCAGGCTGAGGTGCGGGCCAGGCTCCACACCCCAAGCGGGACCCCGCAGGCCCCCACGGCTCTCCCTGGGCAGGGGAAGGTGAGGAGGGGAGGGGGCGGCCTCCCCTGCTTGCTAGGGGCTTCCGAGGGCCATTATGTGGCATGGGTGGGGCTCACAGGGTGGGAGGGTGGGAGCTGAGAGGTTGGGGAGAAGGAGGGACCCGGGTGAGGCCTCGTCTTGCTCTGGGTCCGTCATGAGGGCCCAGGGGACACCAGGCCCCCTATTTCCTCCTTTGGACCAGCTGAGTTGCTAAGAGCATCCGGTGCAGCTGGGAGGGTGGGGAGGGAAAGCCAGGGGCTTCTGGGCGTGGCCAGGGCAAGGTGGGCGGAGCCGGGGTGGGGCGTGGCCAGCGCAGGGTGTGGCATGTCCAGGACAGGGTGGGGCGTGGCCATGGCAGGGTGGGGCGGGGCCAGCACAGTGTGGGGCGGGGCCAGGGCAAGGCAGTGTGAGGAGCCTGAGACTCCTGGGGGCGCCCCACGTGCCTCTGAAAGCTGCTTGGGGAGCAGAGTCCAGGCCTGGCCCAAAGGAAGCCGGGACCACAGCTGTGTCCTTCCTGCCAAAGGCTTTGTGGCGGCCCCTCCCAGTGAGAGCCTCGGGGCGCTGCACACAGGTGGGCAGGGGCGCGCCCCCCGCCTGAAAGGCCTGGTGTGAAGGGGTCCGTCTGTGGCTGAGCAGAAACTGTACCCAAGCCGCCTGGCAGCCATGGAGAAAGGGAAACAGATCCACAGCCGCCGAGTTCACCGGAAACCTGGGCCACCTGACAGATGCCAGCCTGCTGGTCCCCGCTGGGTCTATCTCTCCCGGGGCCTTAGAGACCGGGAGAACCTGCAGCCTTCCCGCAGCCCCTAGGCCGCCTCCGCCCCTGGCTGCACCCCCAGGCCAATGTGCTCATTCCGCCTCCCCCCTGAGCCTGCCTCCCTGGACCAGGCCTTGCAGGGGTGCTGTCCTGGGTGCCCACGGGCCTCTCGGGGCTGGAGAGGAACTCTGTGAGGCTGTGTCCACTCCGGTCTGGGTGGCGCCCCCCTCCTTCAGCTCCTCACTGACCTCCAAGTTTGCTAGACCCGAGGGTCACCATGGGGCCCCCACGCAGGCTGGACTTGCCCCACAGCTCGGGGAGGCGCTGAGGGTGGTCCATTCAACAGCCCCCCCCCCCAGCCCCGGATTGCGGATCCCAGGGAGGAGCCCAGCAGCCGTGTCCCGGGGTGCCCTCTGTGGGCAGCTTTCGGCAGGGGCTCTGTGCGTTCCCCTCTCACGAGCTGCCGTGCGGGCACGAACGCTCCCATTTCAGACGAGAAAACCAAGCCCCAGACGGGGATGATGGCAGAGACAGACACGCCCTCGGTGCCACAGGCTGGGCTGTTTTCATCTCTCAACCCTCCGCACGTATCAGGACCAGCCTGGAGGCCGGCGTCCATCAGCTCCGTGGACAGAGAGACCAGCCTGGGGGGCAGCCACTCAGGCCGCGAGCCCTGCGCAGGCCGGCTCGCTGCCTGAACCCCGAGATGGACCGCACAGCCACGAGGCCAGATGCCGCCCCCGGGTCCCTGCCTGGCGTCGCCTCATTGTTTTCCATGCCACTGGGCTTCGGCCCTCCGTGTGGGCGAGGGGATTGGCGTTTGTCTCCCTGGCGTCTCCGAGAAGCAGCGCCCCCTTTGTCCACCCCCTCCCCGCCCTGGAAGCTGTTGGTGCGGGCAGCCCCGCCCAGGACACAAATGCCAAGCGGTGGAGGTGAACGGTAATTCGGTTACGGCTGCCCAGCGCGTGCTGCCCTGCAAATCGAATTTACGGCCAAATCAGTCCTCTAATTGGTGCACAGAGGCTATTACTCAGCACCCACTGGGCGGCTCCGCAGGCTCAGGTCAGAGGAGAGACGCGGTGTCAGCTCGCTGTGGGTGCCGGCCGTGACCGTGACCGTGACCGCCGTGGGCCCAGGCCGCCCCCTGGAACCCCTTCTGACCACAGAGGGCGGGCCTCACGGGCCCTCTGCCCCCTGACATCAGCAGGGCTGCCTGGGTGGCTGAGGCAGGGTGCACAGTGTGACGTCATGCCCCCACTCCCAGCCCTATTGGTTGTGAAGCCAGAGCGAGCAGGGTGAGC